ACAGGTGAGCCAGGCGGCATAGGGCATGTGTAATATGGCTTGGCAGGAACAACATGTTCGTGCCCACGGTTGCGCTGTCAATCCCGACCGGCCCTGTTCCACAGGGAGGAAGTTGTCAGAATTCCCTTCATGTGGCTAAGTTAGGGGTCTGACTTAATTAACTTGCACCCAACTCTATGGCGAACATTTTGCTGGACAAGTGGTATTTTGAGCTCGCGGGTGCCCTCCCTGCGCTTCTTCGGCAAGCCACTGGAAAATCCCTCAAGCCAGCCAAAACCTTGGTGTTGGTGCAGAGTTGAGCACTGTTTTCATGAATTCTCCGAGTTCGCTCGGTATTTGGCTGATTTGCGGTGAGTTGGCAACCTGAACTGTGCACAGTCTGCGGCAATGGTTCCATTTTGAGATACCCAGACGAGCCTTCTGAAAGTGATAAAGTCTTCTGGGAATCCCACTTTGGTGTCAAAGAGAGTGCAAATTCCAACAACCATGCTCAGTTTTCTCCTGACTTTCCGAGGATTTTGCAGGTTTGAGTTGCGTTCCCCTGACAAGTTCCCAATGGTTTAGCAGCCCCCTTGTTCCCTTTTTGTTTAGTGTATTCTAGAACATGGGCCCCCAAAAGATCCCCTTTTTCTAATAGACCTGAAGTCACCTTTTTCCGCCTGAAGCCAAATGGAGAAACTAAAAGCGGAAATCGGGTTCCAATGCTTCCACCGGATTCTGATCTACTGTCGCTCGCGAAATGAGGCCAATGCTCCGGTCCCTGCACTCCCTGCGGCCGCTGGCAAGGACCAGGCACTTCTCCGCGGGGGAGCCCACAAACGGTTGGGGATTTCTGGCGCCTCGGTGCGTCCTATCCATTTTGGAAGAGATCTTGGTGGGTTCCCTTTTTCCGGCAAAGTGCCCTCAACATGGCGGGAAACTCAATGGACTTTCAAATATTATGTTGGGCACTCCATAGTGGCAAAAACAATTTCCCCTCGAAAAAAGGCAGCCATTGTATGTTGGGAATTTTGAAGGATTCTTGCCTTGTGGTCCGTTTGCTTGTCCACGCTGAACCGTAGGACTAGTCAGAGGTCTGACCCAAGACGGGCTTGTGAAGCTGTCTGTTCATTGGATGCGTAGCGGCGGTTTCCTGTCTTGAGTTGCGGAAAGTGTTCCTAGGGCAAGCAGTATTCCTCAAGTAGGAGCCACGGTCATATGGCACTGGGTTGTTACTGTTGTCCGCGATTGCTCGCGCTTGTTTCATTCATTTGTTTTGAGGTTTGTGTTTGTTTTGCTTTCGCTTTGCTTTGCTTGCCTGCCTGCTTGCGTGCTTACTTGAGGGTCATTCCACAGGGTCGCTTTCTGTTCTGGTCGCCTAGAATCCAAGAGCCTCAGCAGCCTGCCGACTTCCGAGCATCGGGGCCCCGTTTTGCATAGTCCTGCTAGTTAACGTTTGAAGGACAGCCAGAACGATTCCGTTCACTTGCCTTACCCACCCACTTGCACCACTCTCTTGCACCCTGCATTGTCAGACCTGCCGGGCCCCAAGGCTGTGAAGTTGCCGGCGGACTCCAATCAAGCTCAGGGGATCGGTCAGTACGCCAAGGACATTTGACACGGGCGAAGTGACCGGCGAAGAATAAGGCTTCCTTTTCCCCGTTTTGATCACTTACTGGCATATGGCGTTTTGGGCCAGGTTGAGGTGAGCTTCCTTTAGGGAGCCATGTTCAGGGTGACGTGTGGGGGGTGGGGCGTCTTTGATGCAGGCGGCGTTGTTGGGTCGTAAAGAAGTCACGGCTATAATTGCAAACCATTAGGCAGAGTGTTTGGAGTGTTGGATGATTTTTACCTTCCTACTTTTCTCTCTAGGCTCTGTTTCTTGTGCTGACTATTGCGGTCCGCAAAGGGATTGGGAGGTGGCCCCTTTGACACGCGGTAGCGTGGCTTATGGGTGCATGCTGCGGTGACGCAAGTGGACGCAGTTGGACGGGGGGCAGCAGTCTGCTCGAGGCTAGCGATGCAATAGCCAGTGGCAGTTGGTAGTTGCCAGCATAGGTGGTAGTGGTAGCGAACCAGCTAGCAATTAAGCAGGCAGGGAGGCGGGCAGGCAGGGAGGCGGGCAGGCAGTCAATCCACAATTGCTTGCTACCCGACAAACCGATGCACAATGAAGCGATACATGGCGCCCAGAGTGTGGAGGCTAGACCATTGCTTCGAATGATCTAACAGAGCACAGGTGAGCAGGGGTGAAGGGGACCCTTGTCGCCTACGCTTATCATTGTCGCCACTTGGCCATTTCGATGCATGTGCTGCCGTACGCAGTTGAAGCCATATGTGCAAGTGGATGGCAAAAATGGGCCCGCTGCGGGCACTGATGTTGTGAGATTCGCAGGTTTCATGAAAGTTTAATGTTGTTGCATTTCAGCTTGTTTTCTGACGTGGTGTGTCTTTGGTAAAGAAGCACCAACTCGTGATTCCAAGTGCGAGGACCTCATTGATGGCAAGTTTGGGGACCATGTGGACGCTTCGGTGTATGAGCGGGTGGAAATGTTCCACACCGATTCTGTCCGAGCCCCAGCGGGCTCTCCAAGTTTGGACTCGGGACCCCAAAGTCCAAGTGAAGCAGCGAAGCATACTTCGTTTCTTTACCGCGTTTCGGTCGACCAAAACGAGCTCCAAGCCTTTTCCACCGCGCATGTCACTGGTTGCAACTGAAATGGACATGGGTGTGTTGTTTTTGATGGTGCCCTTTTTGGGCTGCATTTGCTCATGGGAACAGGAGGGAAACCACACATTTTTGGGCACCCGGTTATGAGACAAAGCCACATGGCTGCCTGACGCAAGACCAAGAAAGCCATGGCAGGTCATGTGTGGGATCTCCGCCCTGGCGCTGAAGACCAACGCCCCCACCATCCTGCGGGAGGAGGACACTTGGGTTGCACAACCCGCTTGAGTCCATGGACTGTGGTCACCTTTTTGGGAAGACCATTTTGGCGGCAAGCAAAAAGTTCGGACCTTTTCCGGCCCATCAACTCAGGAAGTGAGACAATGTGTTTACATGCCCCCAGCCCACCTTTTTAGACAAACCAAGATGAGGAAATGTGTTGCTAGGTGTTCAGATTGGGTTCTTCAAATTACTCGTTGGGTCCCTGTGCCACATGGTGCTGTTCCTGCGAGTTGCGTGAGGAAAGTCAAAATCCATGAGCAAACAAGCCAATGCTTCTCTCGGGTCACAAGGCCTTGACCTACAGCGACCCCAAAGGCGCCACAGTCTTCGGCAGCACCGTGCGGGGCCCGAGCCATCGAAACGGCGTGCCTTGAATTGCTTGCACCGATCTTGTGACCGCTGACACGGATAGGCATGTGTGTGTGTGTGTGTGTGTGTGTGTGTGTGTGTGTGTGTGTGTGTGTGTGTGTGTGTGTGTGTGTGTGTGTGTGTGTGTGCACGCGCATTTTTTGTTGTTTGTATTAAATTCAAGCTCACTCTTTGAGGTTGCTTTTAGAAAGGAGTATTGCTTTATACCGTATTTGTACATGTATAGACAAATATTTGATACAAACATATGTGTATATAGAGAGAGAGAGAGAGAGAGACACCTAGAAAATGCTCAGTGTCTAAAACCGACCTATTGGCATGTGTTTTGCCTTTCCATTATGTCTAGTGCACTTGTTGTCAAGGTCCACAAAGGTTACTTGTTTTCCGGGTCCTTTTGTACAAGTGAGTAAGTGGGTTTTGGTTGGCGGGTTAGCAGTGATGGTCATGGGGGACCCCCTGGCAGGGAACTTAGTGAACCATAATCTGTGAAAGGATCCATGGCCAGTGTCAGAGGCCTTTCACTACCCCAATGCACATGCCGCAAGGCAAAAAGTGAGTATCCACTCTGGGGCCAGGGCTAAATTAGAATGAACTGTCCGGGTGGCGGGTGTTTCGGGGTGTAACTTTCATTTCGTCCTCTATTTCCGACCGGCAAACAAAACGCAGTTTGGTTGGGGCAAATGGGGTTTCCCACTCCCCAACCTCCAAACACCCAGGGATCCCACTGAGCCGCTGAGGCCAAGTGCGCGCCGGAGAAGGTGATCGCCGCCAACGCCTCCGCGGCGCGTGCCTAAGTGAGGGGGGAACCCAGTGATGTCATCCCCTTGCTTGGGGATTCCCTTCTGTGGTTTTGAAATGGTTGGCGGTTTTCTCTGGTTTTGGAGTGGTTGTAAAAACTGGCAGTTGTTCAGCACGTTTCGCCCTTTCACCCTTTTCGTTGGGTTCGGGACACCAAAAATTGGATTCATTCCGACAAGTGGGTTGCCTTGTATCCTTTTTGGTTTGGGAGGTTCAGACCACTAAAACGGAATCGTCCCCAAGAAGGGTTCCCTTTTTCTTTCTCTGTTGGATGGGGCGGCTGCTCGAGTGGGTGCATTTCAACTTAGGAACAGGATGGAACAGGCACCCCCTCCGTGTAATGGCAAGGAAGTTCGTCAGAACACCAGCACTTTTCAGCGCCCAAACGGGGGGGGGGGGAGGTTTTGCGCGGTCAGGTCCGGGAGTGGGACTCCAATGGCACCGTCTTCGGCTATAACCCGAAGATCCCGGGCCACGACGCAGGCGCTTGGAGTCCGCCTGTGCCAAAATTGGGGTCCCCTATGATTTTTGTTTTTCTACGAGTTTTGTGTGATTTTGATGGATTTTCTAGATTTTTGTGTGATTTTGACAGAAAAACACAGCTCCAGGTGGGTGAAAGCAGATGGAAAGAGCTACCCCATGCTGATTTCATCCCCTTCCTTATCGAGAGAAAGGGAGTTGTGGCCTTTACTTTCACCCTGCAACTCGTTGCCCAACCCCAAAGGCGACTCTCCTCAATTTTCGGCTTTGGTCCAATTGGTCCCCGCAATAGAAGCGCTCAATCCAGTCAGCCTTTTTGCTCATTCACCCAACCTGAGAGCAGCACTGTGGCGGACAGGGGAGTTCGGTCACAACGACTTCTACCCGGTGGTCATGGCAGCGGCTCAGGCGCAGAATCAAACAACTTGCAACCAGCGGCATTTCTTCACACTGTTTGGGCTGCCCGGAACCGGGGCAGAACTTATGGAGCCTCGGAACCCTCGTGGACCTTCCCAGGACCCCAATCCAAGACAAACCCAAACCCTTGTTTTGGGTAGGGGCTTTGGAATGTGACTCGTGAAGTGATGAACTGCATGTGTCGGAAACTTGGCACCCTTGGCGTGTTGCACCAGTACTCCCAGACTTCTACGGTTATCAATGGCACCTCAAAAGGCATTGCCTTTGGGTCAATACGCCTGGGGTCTAATGGGGGTACGATGGGTTTGTGACAGGGTCCCCGTCCCCGCCATTCAACCTAAGCCTCATCTGCAGGCACCCCAGGCCGCGTTGTCAGTTTTGTCCCGCTTGGATGGGGGGGAAGGCATTGGAGAGCAGAGACTTGCGTCCTGATTCATAGCGTGGTTTGCCCCTGTCCCTAGTTGTTGAGTGGCGCCCTCGAAAGCTCGTTTAGTTTGGATTCGGGACACTGAGAATCAGAGAATGGACTCATTCCCCAAACAGTTCTTTTGTTCACCTTTCGGGACACTGGGCTTGCAACTGGAACGTGGGTTTGTGGCACTTTCCGGAGGTGACTGGAACAGTGGACGGCAAGAAGGCCCTGCTGGCCATGATTGCTTTGGATGAGATCCGGGGCAGATTGGCGGAGGCTGGGCTACAGCCTTTTGGGCATGTGTGTGTGTGTGTGTGCGTTTTCGGGGTCTTGGCTTTCCAGGAAGCCAAATGGAAAGCCACAATTCGCTTGGAGGCCCCCTGGTGGTTTGAGGGCAACCGAGCAGCTCACAGTGCCCCAACCTGTGACTTGAGAGACACGAAGACGATACCCGCCCCTAAAGCTAATCTATCGGGAGGAGTGTCCACATGGGGGGGGGCCTTTGCATACACTTCCCATTGCTTCCCTTGGCAAGTAAACAGAAGAAACGTGTGTTGCCAGGAGAGAGGCTCATCCTGATTTCCAGTTGGGGCTGGGATCGAAGGGGATGCAGATCTCCCCGACCACATTTTCAGCAAGGTGTAATTAGTTCTTTCAACCAGGGTTTTGCGACAACTCCCATGAGAGTTCCGCGCTTGGGGAGTCCTGAGTTTACCTTAGTTTGGGGTAGAAGGCACTCATTTTTTTCGGCCAGATATTGCCAGGTGTACTTGCGAATAGTCGTGTGGGTTTTTGTGCCACGTGGATGGCTCAGAGAGCGCGTTAGATGTTCGAGCAGCTGATGTGCCTAGTAGCAACGCAAAGAAAAGCAGGGGAAGCAGCCCGAAAAGGAGATACCTCGAAAAAGGGAGGATCGTTTTGGGGGGATGGATAGTAGTAGTTGTCTAATCTGATCTGTTCAAGACCCACCGCCATTCAACACTGGCGCAGGTCTTCAGTCTGAAGAGCCCCTTGGCTGAGCAGATCGAGAGACTCACCTGAACCGCGCTTTGGCGCGACGCAGTCAGCATGCTCTGTGTGCTAAGAGACCGTCATTTGTGCCCCGTAGCAAAGCCCAGAGGGGTTTGGTATTCTTCAAGTTTTCCCAGACCCCATTTACAACCAGGTTGGAAGGAGGTGCCTGTTATGTCCTTTTCATTCAGGAGCCCTGTGCCGTACCGTGTTACTTGTTACAAGCAGTTTGAAAGACCAGTTTTCGGGATGCCATTTGCGTGGCTTCGTCGCCAAAAACATATTGGCGAGAGCGCAGCGCTATATTGGTATACCCAGCCCATCCCAGCCCTGACCTCAAGCTGCTCGGGATGAGTTTCTTTATTGAGATTGGCAGCTCATGACATGAGTTTGTGAATCGTTGGCCTGACTGCCAAGAGACATGGTTGCCTTCACTTAGGCTTTGGCAACGGAAGTGAGCCGTTACTCCCTCACATGGTCCACACCTCACACAGAAGTCTCAAGCTTTTGGGAAAGCCTTTGAACGATTTTCCTCAATTCTTCCCATGCTACGCTCGCTCCGAGGCTACAAGATCGACCACGTGGTGCATGGCGGGAGGGGGGGGGGGAGCGGGGTATAACGGGCCCGTGAGTGCACGCCACTGAATCTCGCACGCGAATGTGCGAATTCGGTGATTTGCGGGGAAGCCTGGAAAGAGTTGCCTGGTTTTGCGCATGGTTTTTTGTTTTTGTCTTTGTTCGCGGAGGTGATGGCAAAATTGGAATTTTGTTGCCAGCTGTGAAGAGACTTGACGGCCTTTGCCGACAAAATGGCGGCCCTTTGTGTTCCCATTGCCAGCGGAGACGGTGTACAATGACCTGAAGCAACAGCTGCTGCCTCCAATTGGGGGAGGAGTCTGTCCTGAGGCTTGAGAAGGTTGACAAGTTCGGAAGCCACGACCGGGCACGTCAGGTGAATCTAAAGCTTGAACTGCGGCCCCTTGTTGCACTCGCCCCATCCAACAAGCCGCCTTAGGCTTTCCACCGTATGCGAACCGAACCACACACACACACACACACGCTCTCCAAGTGTATTTTACAATTTGGGGCTGTGCCGTTGGGAAGGATCGTTTTTATCATGGCAGCCAAGGGGGTGCAATGCCCGGGGTGCCAACACAGAAGTGCACCAGTCCCCAAGGGTGAAGCCAAAGGCCTAGTTGAGAGTTTCAGGAACCCAGGCCCTCCTCCTCCCCTTTTGTTCAAGGGTTCGGGATTGATGAGGAAACAGAAGTCCAAGCAAACGCAAAGCAACTGCGCACCGAGACGCCTTGCAGTTTTCCCAACAACCAAAGCCGACTCAAACAAGTCAAAGGCACGTCGCTGGGAAGTCATGCTCCTCCCACTTTGTGAGGACAATGACATGTGGGTGTGGGTCAAACTTAAGCCAACAGGGGACAGCAGATGTTGGTTCATGTTTCCACTTACCAGGGTGCCATTTTGGGTACCTCTTTTTGACCCACAGCCATGTCTCAAAAAACTGAGAGCTGCAGCTGATTTGCCTTCAGTCAGGCGCCATTGCCTCCGCTGCAGTGTACGGAGCGCTGCTGGGAGCCTCCGTGGAGGAGCCGCCCGGCGAGAAACAAAGCGGAGTCCGAGCGCGCCATGGGTCGGTGGGGAACGTCTTATACCTTTGCCCGGCTGAAATGATGATGGTGGAGATTGAAACCTTAGGTAAATGTGGAAGGTTATTTGCCCCGCAAAGTAGCTTGACCCCACCCTTCAAATTCCATTTTGTTTGGGTTAGACATAGAGTCGACCAACTCTAAATTGGTTTCATGTTTGTTTCTATCGTCACGGGGCTGGGATAGCCTGGGCCCCCCAAAAGCACTCTTGCGTGGCGCAACACAAAGGTCTGGACAAATCCAAACATCGTGACGCCGCTTTGAGGGCAAGCTCCTTTGGGCATTCATGTCCATGAGCTGTAGGGGTGGCTCTGTGGCAACCGCTGCATCCTGGCGTTTGTGGTGGGTTCCCAGATGGGATCCACATTCAAAGCTTCAAAGCAAGATGGGGTATCTTTCGAGACCAGTTTGCGTGTTAAGGGACCGAATCTGTGTTTTGGTTTGGCGGCAAGAGCTGAGGTAGGCAACGAGCCGAGTTTCGGGTTCAACACTCTCCGAGGATCGAGAGTGCCATTGGCATGGCCGTAGCGCACTACATCCCCTTCAGGGCCATCCGAGCAGGCCCAGAGAGAAGCAGAGGGTCGCAGAGGGTTGGACGTTGGACCCCCATTTTTGTTGCACAGGGAGAAGCGCCGCTACTATTTGCATGGTTTCCGGGGTCATTGGAACAACCTGGCGTGGGGGGGAGAGGTACCACAATTTTCCCAGCCATTCATTTTTTAGGGTTCCCTTTGAGAAGCGCTGAAGGGGCCGGGCTCTTTCCAGAGGAGCATGGTTTGACTACAAAATGCCTCAGCTTAAGTCGTCTTTGGTTTGATCCCATTGCCACATGTTTTGTTGAGGCGTCGAAGGGTTAACCTGTCGCTTCAAGAGGCATTTGGACGGGGCAGATTCAGATTGTTCGGGATTCATCAAACCACATGCATCTATGTCTTGTCTACTGAGAGAGCCTTATTGAACCTGATTGGGGGTTGACGCTAAGCCCAGGATAGGGCCCCTACAGCCGCCTCCCCTTGTATATATGACCATGACTTGTATTAAAAGAACCACCTCAACAGTGGTCTACAGCATCTCCGCGTTAAACCCAAAGGCTCCAAGTACCCTGTACGTACCCTGTGTACTTTTGACCCCTTTTGGGTTCCAGAGGAGCTACGTGGCCCCACGTGCGCCAGGCAAGCAGCTCTCGGACTCTAAGGGCGCCTCTGCGGCCATCTCCACGGAGGCGGCGGTGCTCGCCATGCGCCGCGCCCCTCGGCGGAGGCTTTCTGCGTGAGACCTCGCGGTCGCGCCGTTCTTGGTTTGCGCGAAAGTGTTCGCCTGCAGTGGTCATTTGCTTGTTTTGCTCGTGTCCTTGTTTGCTTGTGTCTTCTTGTTTTTCTGGTTGGGTGGGTGGGTGGATGGGTGGGCGGGCCGGTGGGCGGGCCGGTGGGCGGGCGGGCGGGCGGGTGGGTGGGTTTTGTTTGTTTGTTTGTTCGTTTGTTTCGGCTTCCCTGTGCTTTTGCACGATCCACGCATGGGGGATATATCCTTGCCCCCCAGCCCTGAAAATCCTTTTGGCAGTCTTTCGTTCCTGGGCATTTGTTTTGAGTATGTCCAACTAAGGATTATCCCCACTGTCCCAGCAGCCCAAACACACCGACCCACTTCCCCAACATACCCCTCGGGGAGTTTAGCATCACCTTGGTTGCGCGTTTGGGACCCAATGCGGCAAAAACGGGAATCAATTCCTTGAGACTTGTCAAGGATCCCAACCAACAATCTTCTAAGGGATGCTGAGAGGGACTCGTAACGGGAGAAAAGGGCCCTGATGATGGGCAGGCGTACTTTGTGGGTGCAAAAGAAAGTGTATGGAGGGAGGCCTCGTATGTGTTTTCCTTTTCGGGGCAGGGATGTTTGGATGAAAGTGCAGGTCAGAATGGATCAGTTCCACAGCCTTGATGAATTTGGGGCTAACCAATACATAGAACTCATAGAACCCTCAAATCTATGATTTTGGGAAATCTCCAATTGGTGAATCCCCTTTTCAGATTCTATGTCAGCAGTATATGGAGGGGCCTCCAGGGCTTTGTTTTGGAGGATGCCCCAGATACCAAAAATTTCCCTCAGATCCCACAGGTCGGGAATCTCAGGCGATGCGTGGCTTCGTGGGGCCCAAGGACATCTTCCGGAACCCCGAGGCCTGCGGCCGATGCACCCGGGGTGAACAAATGTCCTTTGGGGTCCCCTCGAAAATTTGAGTGTGCACGCGTGTTGTTTGTTTGTGTCTTGTTTGTTCGTTCGGTCGTTTGTTTGTTTATTTGTGTGTTTGCTCGCTTGCTCGCTTGCTCGCGTGCTTGCTTTTGCTTTTTTTGTTTTTGTTATTATGATAATGAATTGTCACTCGCGTGATCATTACTATCATTATGCCCTATTATTTGTAGTATCCTTAATTAGTATGATTCACATATGTTTATATATGTATATGAGTCAGCAACAAAATTACCATCATGTACTTTATATGGGGGTGTTTCATGCACGTGTTGTTTTTCGTTTTTGCTCGAAAAAACGATACGGGACGTCCAAAAAATAATACCCCTTCAGCAAGTTGGCATTGGTTGCAAACAAACATGTCTTGTCAGTTTATGTGTTCTCCTAGAGCATGTGTTTGTTTGCTTGGTCGAGACTTGCAACTAGGCCCTTCCATTGCAAGGGTTGCAGGGCAGGGGGATCAAAAGGGATCTTCACATTTGGAGCACCAGATGGCTTCTGACAAGACGCGTGTGGCAAAAACAAGCTGTGCTTGAACGGGGCGAATGTTTCTAGCATGTGTCCACCACATTGCAGGGGTAACTGCCGGCCAGGAGAAAGGATGTAACTGTAGTTCTCCGTTCAGTCAAGGAAGTTTAGAAGGGGTGTAGCTGCAGTTCTCCGTTTGGCCAAGGAAGTTTAGAAAATCTTGCGCAATACTGAAACTAATTGAGCGAGCTCTTTCGAAGAATGCGTGCATTTGCGCGTGATCTTTAAGACTAGATGCTCTGCGCGTGAAAAAGCTACGAAAAAAGCTGGAAAGCGCGAGAGCTGGGAGATGGAGCAACCATAGACGGAAACCAAGACGGCAGCTATGTATTCTGAGGATGTCCCGCTGTTTTGCCCTCTTGCTGGCCAAGCAAGGCGTTTGGGAGGTCACCTTTCTTCGGCCGCAAGCAACTGCGTTTTGCACGCTCCAGCGCTTCTCTGAGGCTCCTTGTCAAACAGCGCCGCTTCCCAGAAGAAAACCGGCCACCAAAACGATACCCCAAAACGATACCCCGACGATACCCCCGCAATGGGCCAGGAGGCTAAATGTAGGGGGTGGTCCATTTGACACCCAACCGCTACCCCTGCAGTTACGAGGAGACACACATTTGCGGGTGGCTTGGGAAAGAACTGCAATGCTGGAGAGGGCAAGGACTGCAATGCCAGGATCGCACCCGTGCAGCCGGACGCAGCGGTACTGAGCTGACAAAGGAAGAATCACGATGGGTTGAGGAGTGCGTGTGGAAGGAGAAGCGGGAAGCTTTGACCCAGGAGGGGCAGCGTGTTCGCATAGAGAGAGCTGCCTCGGCTCCAAAGGCAGCCGAAGAGCGCGGAATCGCCGCAAGCAATTGCCAAGGCGATTGCGAAGAGTGCCCGCAAGAGGTGAAGAAGACCACCACGGTGACGAAGCCGGCCTCTCGGCTCCGGCGCCGGCGGCGCCGTGGGGGTGACAAGCATCTTTGGACGCAGCCTCGTCCTTTCTCCTCAAGCGGCTGCACGTGTGCCCTGGGTTTGAAGCGAACAACCCCAGCTCCAGCAGCCAAGCGGGTGAGGGACTACATTGACGCAACAGTGCGTGAGTTTGCTGGCACGCCTGAAACTGCCTCGAGACTGGGATTTAGCATGGGGCGCACTCGCTGGACAAAGGCAGGACTTGAGGGAGGCAACGATGAGAGAAAGCGTGGCAGACCCAGCAAGCAAGGGAGCGCTGATGGAGAAGGCGCAAAACTAGGCAAAAGCAGCGGCGCGACTCTGTGTCAAGCGCAAGTTCCTCCTCCTCGAGCTTCAACTCAATCTCTGAGGGAGACTAAAAGGAATCTGCGGCCCGTGGTGTGATTTGCTTTGCTTGCAGGGATTGCTCTTTGGCCGCCGTGTGGTTTGATACCGCGGAACGCCCGCTTGTGAGAGCTTCCATTCCGTTGCTGTTACGTTGGCGCTACCCCCGCAAAGAACTGTTTGGTGGCAAGCAAGGGGGCAGGGATGTGTCCCGTAGCCACGGCCTGCAAAACGATACGGGACGTCCTCTTTAAGCAAAACCTGTAAAACGATACGGGACGTCCTAACACCGAATGAATACAACCCAGACAAGTAATTTTGACGCTGTCTCATATGTTGGGGTGGACTGCATGACTATATCTTTGGGGCAGGCTACATGACTAAATATGAAACAACATTTGAACATAAGTATTGCGTGGTTACTGCGATGTGGGACAAGTCCCGGTATTTGTCACCTTCAGACACTCCACCAGATAAACATCACTCATCCAAAATTCAGCATCACTTCGCCAAAATAAGCTTCACTCCTCCAAGGATCAACTGTGCTTCTTCAAAGGTAAGCTTCACTCCTCCCAACAGAATTGCTGCTTGAGAGCACCGCGTCCCCATTCCATGCCACACCCCTTCGGCACTTGCAGGCCATTTTCCGGTTCTTCGAGCCGAGCACCGGCACAGGTGGGCAGGGAGCCGAAAGCGAGTTGCTGATTTTTTTGGAGAATTGAGTGGCCACCTCGAACAGCTTTTGGCTGGCAGTCGAAAACTGAGGAAGGTGCCTTCCATCATTAACAGCCAAGCTTCATTTTGGCTTAGTGGATTAGATTCATATCACCCATTGCGATATTTTGAGTTGACTCCCTTGTTCTTTGGCGCAAAGCTCGTTCCAGCGTCTTTGATACGAACATGCACCTTGTTGAGTCTGATTGTCGGAGCTGCAGCACATAATGCCTGTGCATACACCTTGTTGAGTCTGATTGTCGGAGCTGCAGCACATAATGCCTGTGCGTACACCTTGTTGAGTCTGATTGTCGGAGCTGCAGCACATAATGCCTGTGCATACACCTTGTTGAGTCTGATTGTCGGAGCTGCAGCACATAATGCCTATGCATGCACCTTGTTGAGTCTGATTGTCGGAGCTGCCGCACACAATGCCTGTGCATACACCTTGTTGAGTCTGATTGTCGGAGCTGCAGCACATAATGCCTGTGCATACACCTTGTTGAGTCTGATTGTCGGAGCTGCAGCACATAATACCAGTGCATACACCTTGTTGAGTCTGATTGTCGGAGCTGCAGCACATGCCTGTGCATGCACCTTGTTGAGTCTGATTGTCGGAGCTGCAGCACATAATGCCTGTGCATGCACCTTGTTGAGTCTGATTGTCGGAGCCGCAGCACACAATGCCTGTGCTGCGAAGGGTTAGGGTTGTCACTACACGCCAAGACTTGCGCCAGGCAAGAGCAAGGACAACATCGACATCGCGCTGAGCCAGCTGCTTAATGTCTTCCATTGATAACAAGTAATCAGACCCTTCTATTTTGACCCTAGATACAGCAACATATTGAGTTGGAGTTGCGCTCCAGTATTTCGGTCACATCCTAGGAATCTTAGGAAGGGGGCAATGCTTCTTTTGATTTGCTTTTGTAGTAGGGTTTTTTTCCATGAAGTGACCCAGAATATGTCCTCGCAACAATGCGTTGAGAGAGGAACTGCTGCTTGTGGATTGCTCGTGTATTTGGATCCATTGCCGGGAAATGACCCAGATCATTAGCTGTATGTAGGGATAGTTTTTTGTGGCAATACTTCTTAAAAGTGACAATGCTCTTTTGGATTTGCTTTCGTGTTAGGATCTATTTCCTGGAAGTGTTCCCTGACCGTGCAGGATGACTTGGTGCGGTATACTTGGTTGATTGTTTTGGGGTTATGTTGTTTGAACAGGTGTGAAATCAAGAAATCACTATGACAATGGACCCGACGATTTTGATTCACACACCCTTCGCTTTGTTTAGGGGTAGTTCATTATAGTTGTTGAGGGGATTGCTTACTCAGCGGGAGTTTGTCAATCATTGGTGGATACAGCATGCAAAGCCGAGCAACAACATGGAGGGGCAAACACATAGGCCCCTATTCATTTGAGAGATGATTATAGTTTTATTTTGTGTTGCCTCAACCCGGGTACCGCAGAGCTATGCCCACGAGCGAGCATGCGTGTGTGTGTGTGTGTGTGTTGCTTGGATTGTGTTGTGTGGCGTATGGTGTGCAGTGTGGTTGCGTTGTTGTTGGGTCGTGTCGCTTCGTGCCGTGTTGCGTTGTGCGTGTGGGTTGTGCCAGTGCCTGTGGGTGTGTGTGTGTGCGTTTGTGCGTGTATGCCTTAATTGTTTCGTGTGCTGACTGCTGAACAGTGCATCCATTCAAAGGAGTTTGCTTCAAGGCAAGGATGGCAACACGACTGTGATACTACGACAGGCCTCTCAACTCATCGACTTATGTTGTTTGTCTACTCCTGTTGTGCCTGGCATTATAATAACGTATTTCATTCGGTGTCGCTCTTTTTCTCTGCCTTCTGTGCAGCCTGGCCGGACTTGCTCTCATGTCGGCCAATTTGTTTGCCGAGGCAACAAGGTCCGCTGGGGGCCGGGGCCCAGCCCTTTCAACCTGGTGCTGTCTCACAGCGGCGATGATTTCGCGGCACCCCGGATGGGAAGATGACAAACTTGGTCGGTGGGCCCAAACATCTGATCATCATTGCCCACGCCCTTGGCAAGTGACTTAGCCATTCGCATGATTGCTATTGGACATCACGTTGACCTTTCATGTCCAAACCAAAATCGCATCAGCATGATTCACGCCAGACAACATGCCCTTTGCCAAGCCAAGCCGGCTACGAATGTCAATGGCAAAAATGATAGCAACACCGGCATCAGAGTAAATCAAAGGAGGTTCAAGTATCACGCACAGAAAACCAACAAACAAATGAAGTATGGCCACAGGGACCTCGTGTCTGCGGGCTAAAGGGAAGCCAGAAGCAAACCAGCCAGTTTGGAAGGTCCTCAATTTCTGCGCACAGCCCATCACGATCTTTCAAACAACGCCACTATTTACCTGCGTTTTTGTGTGTTGAGGGTGCCCGTTTTCTGGGCCCATTTTGTGGGTGTCCCATTTGGACACAGATTGCAAGCTCTGCCAAGTTGACCTCCCAACATCCGACAACACCAAACAGTCAAGCACAGGACAATCCCTACAAGCAAGGCAAGCAACATCAACGTCATTCAATCAAAGAATCAGTATTCAACTTTTAGCATTTGGCAAGTCCCCCATTTGGAGGCAAATCCCAATGTCCTTTTACACGACATGGGAAACTTCTATCAAGCACACGACGATCCATAGGGGTTGGCGTCCTTTTGCGCCTTCTAGCTGCTAGTTGTTCCAACCTTTGCGACCCGCGGAAAACTGGCAAGTTGTCACCTTTGGATGGCTTGACTGGCGAACCCCCACGTACTTGGGCAGGTTGATTGACTGTGAGGTCATGACTGGCAAGTTGTCACCTTTGGGCGAATCCCCACCTTGGGCGGCAAAAATGCCACCTACTTGGGTTGACTGGGTGTGAGGTCATGGGCATGCACTTCAAGCTGGGCCTCTACGAGCATCAGTCCGCCGGGGCCCTGGAGGGCCTCCTCACCGCGCTGGTGCAGAACCCGGAGCTCGCGGCAGGCGGGGCTTGCCTGGGTTGTAGCAACGCGGTTCCCTAAAAACCGGGGGGGGAGGCGTTCCCCTGGTTTTCACCCACCAAAAGGGGTCCACCATTTTGAGGGTTTCACCAACCAAAAGAGGAGTTCTCAAAGTGGTCCTCTAAAATGGGTTTCCGAGCCATGTTTGCTTTTGGAAGCTTCAACAGTTGTTCTGATGGCAGCCACCAGTCAATTGGTCAACTTTTGACTTGCGCCTGTAAACCGTTGCGTTTTCTCTTGGGTTTCACCGGGGGTCCACCATTTTGAGAGACCATTTTGGAGCCCCGACTCTCTAAGGCCTCCTCAGATATGATTGTAGATTTACAGTTCGCCCAAGTAGGAAGCGTAATCTCAGCATGTGTTCGCGTATAGTTGGGCCAAGTTTAAGAGGACCAAACCGCACAGAAAATCGGCAACGTGTTTCCTTTCACGTTTCTGCAGGTTTTTGTTTGCTTTCAAGGTTGCTTTAGGCACTCATGGCCAAGGCCCAAGCATAGAATTGGTGGAGCTTCCTTGTGCTTCCTTCGCCCGAAACACAGTTCCACCCTGAACGTGTTAAGTGGGGGTGGTGCGTAGAGAGGGGAGATTCAGGACATCTCGCAGCCGCTTTTGAGCCCATAGGAAAGACATGGGTGTGGGTCAAAATTAAACCACCAGGGGACCGCAGGTTTTGGTCCATGTTGCCAGTTACGAGGGTTCTATTTTGGGTACCTATTTTTGACCCACAGCCACATGAACAGCATGTTTAATAGGATTTGTAATGCGCGAGCCAACATGGAGGCAATCTTTGAGGGTTGGGAGGCATTTGGTGTCCTCCCTATTGGCCTGCTGGTTGCGCAACCGTCCCACCTGAGGCATGTGCCGTTGCTCGCCTTACAGACATTATGTGTAATATGTATACATTTATGTTGAATACGTGTATATATGTATATAGCTGGGTTTCCAAAAGAAGAGGCCATGCACCGCAGGCGGGGTGGATGGCATCCAGAACATCAACATCATCGCCTACGAGCCTGCCTTCGGCATCATCGGGGACCCGGCAAAGAAGGATCCGAAGACCAGACAGCTTCCAAGCTCGAGGGGAAGGGTGCGCGTTCCGCTGCCTTTTTTCGGGAGCCCTCGTTTTGGATGGTGTTGGTGGCATTTGAAGGTTTGAAAAGCAAACATGTCGGGCGCCACGGCTCATTCACCCAGGGACTTTCCTTTTTTGCATATCAAATGCCAAGTCTAAGTCTACCCTCGGGTGATCCCATATACCTTGGGGCTACCCACGCTCGCCCATAGGCAGTCAAGATGTCAGAAAGGGTGGCCACTTTGTTTCGAGGTCCATAGGGCAAGCGACATAAACCCAGCCAATGATATCTATGTAGTTGGTGCGGGGCGAAAGGGAAAGTAAGACCTTCACTGCACGGCTCTCTGAACAAGCTGCTCAAGCCCTTCAGAGAGCACCTGGCTCTTCTGGCAGGTGTTAAAGGATCACTTAGACTTCGACCTCCCTTCAACAATCATGGATGACGATTGCGGGGCTTTGGAAGACTGCATTTCGTTTGGCGAACCGCCTGTCCACTTCCATGATTGAAAATGCCTCCAACCAAGCCCGACGAGCTATGATTTCTGCACATACCTAACGTGTGGCCTTGCTCGGAACATCGGCTTCCTGCCTGATCAAACCCCCGTCGACACGGGTGGCAAAGTGAGCAAAGCATCTCAAAGGGCCTATATCAAGGACACATACTTGAAACGGGTGTGTCTCAAAACCGGCGACTGTTCAAACGGTGCTGTCTCCTATGCCCCGTCAAAGCACCCCAAAGGCAAAAGGGCGCTAGATGTCTCCACCCCGAAGCTTTGGGTTTCCCTTCACACACCTAGACCCTCACATCGAGCCTGCAGTTCAGGTCTGCGGACCACTCGATGGCCTTCATCGTGTCCAGGATCCTCACGAAAGCCATCAGCGGCAAGGCGAGCCGAAGCACGACTTAGACGTGGGCAGTCTTTCGGGAAACACCACACATGGTTTGCTTTATCTTCGATTTCTTTTGGCTGAGATTAGCCCCACAGTCTCAAAATGTGCGCCCCTGGTTTGTTGGACGTGTTCTTTTGTTTTAAGTGTTTCACAAAATGACTGGCCCACATGTTATTGGTGTTGGGAGTCGTATTCTCGTCGGGGAACTTCCCCAGCTTGGCCGTGAGTAAGCTGTGATCAACAGAAAGAAAGAAACTAACACCAGCGAGTTGCACCTTAGCTTACATAGGCACCCGTCAGTGTATTGGATTAGTCAGATTGCTCAGCTTACCTGGATTCCTGTATTTGGTTGGTTTCATGCTGCTTTTTAAGATTAATCACCACTGCAGACGCGACGTGAGCACGACAATCCAAATTGCCACACACTGTGATGACAACCCATTTTCCATGTCCACCTGCCTGGCTCGTTTTTGGGGACAAGCAACTGGGCAGGGGTTTTGCTTTTTCCCACAAAACAACGAGCAAAGGAGCACACGGGAGCTTCCCCATGCACGAGCCAGTCGGGAAATAATATCATTTGTGGTTCACATGGTTCAATCAGATGTTAAGCTGGGAAGCTCAGTGGTCGCATTTGTGCATCCATCTCTACAGGTGCCTAGCGCCATGGATGATGCCTGGATGCAGCTTATGCCACTTGGGGCATATCGTGGGACCGATCGGCTACTTGGGTGTGTGTGTGTGTCTTGTTGCTAGTGCCCCTTGGCTTGTGCAAATTGGACACCGCGGGGAGCCACTGATTCATATCTTAGGGGCTACCGCCCTTTTGGGAGACAAAGCCCACCCCTCTCAGCATGTTTGTGCTTGGTCCCAAGCGGCCTGTGGCAAGGCACCCGCTGACTTCAGCCACGATGAAAACACAGATGCGTGCAGGTTAGTTGACAGTCCCACATAATATAGCTGCTGCTCTTTGCACTTTGATTCTGACATGCTTTTGGCCCTTCAACACTCGGTTTAGCTGGGATTCAGAATTCCATGTCTGTTTTGGAAGGGGCATTGCCACTTACACCGGAGAAGCCAGCTGGGGTTCTCTCAATAGTGGGAACGCTCAGAATGGGTGGTCGCTCCCCCTTAAATGTGTATCTTGTAATTGTTCATACGTGCCGGGGGGGTAAACACTGCAAGCCACTCGGCAGACCAACCCATCAGCCTTTCAGAAGGTCGCCTCAGGAGCTGTTGCGATGCCATCGAAGGGATGCTCGGCCCCGCTTGTTTGCAGTGAGGCTGTCCCCCTATGACTACGGCAAAGACGCGCTTTATGAGAAGACAACGCGGGCGTTGATGGAAAAGATCACGCCACTTGGTTGTGCATGTGCCGGTATGTTTGTTTTGTTGGTCCGCTTTGAGAAGTCATCTCACCCAAACGGTACTAGCCGTGTATCATATGTCCTTGGTGTGCAACCATGCTTTATTTGTTGCAGGGGGTCTTTATGTGCCTTTTGCATGTGTGCCAGGGCTGTGTGCATTCTGAATTTCCCTCTACTGCTAAGACATGTACGGGACGGGGGTGGGCCCTTCCCCATGGCATGTTCCGTTCGGCAAGAGGGAACTGGCAGCGGCAGGCCCACGTTCTGCCTAGGAATCAAAGTGAGAAAACAATCAAATTCCGGTGAGAAGCAGGCTAGTAAAGGATAAGATCCGAACCATAAATGGGTGCAGCTGCCTTTTTAATTCTTGACATGGTTGTGGGTAAGCCATTTTATGACAAGGTTTTGACTGCGCCCCAAGTGAGGTTCAGCCATGGTGGGCCAGAGTACGATGCCAAGTACCCTGACGGCATTCCCACCGCCATTGACATCACCCTGGGCAGCGGCAAGGCGGAGCTGGTGGTTTGCTTGTGGGACATGGGTGTCGTATGTTTTTGTGGCACCCCTTATTTAAACTCCTTTTAACCTGAGTCCCCCCAGCAAAAATCGTCAATCTCAAAAGGGGCTAAACATGCATGCATCTTGGACAAGGTATAAGGAGACTCACCTGAGCTTAAAACAAGCTCATGCAGAATTGACTTGTTTGTTCGATTTGTGCTGTTGGGCTTCTTGGCCCTGAGGTGATTAGCAGCGGCATGGCTCCTTGGCTCTGAAGGTTGTGCTGAGGGATGTGGTGTTTTGTCTCACTTTCGACAGACCATGGCCTACCCGGGCCTACCTTGTCTATCCACTTCGCTGTGGGCTGCGGGAAGTCAATGAAGAACAGGGCTGGCCTTTGGTTCCATGGTCAAATGCAGAGGTGCTACCCTCGCAGAGTCCACCTCATAGAATCCTCCCCGCAGTTTCCCGGACTCGCCAGGTTAGCACATAGACTAAGCCCTAAACCCGTAAGATCCTCAAACCCCAATTTCTGCCACCCTCATTCAACCATCGCCGGACTGAACCAACTTGTGGCCGGCTATCTGGCAAAACCTTCACTTTTGGGGGTGCAAGTTTGCTCAAGCAACCTCTTTCCTTTCCGCGAGTGGCTTCAGGCAGAACCCGCACCAAGGTGATGTACCCCTCCGGCCACGCGAGAAACACCACCGCCGACTTGAAAAAGATCCTGCATCACAAGAACCGCATGCGGTTTGGCGGCACTTGATCTGAGCAAAAAAGAAAAACAAGAAACGAAAAACGAGCGCACCGCCCCGGGAGTGAAACGAGCACCCAGAAGGTTCACTAGGTTTAGGCTCTCGGTCTCGGGTTTGTGGCCATTGCAGTACTGTTCCGCTTTCGGAGTGGCACTTGTTTGATGCCAGGGCTTTCTTTCTCCAGTCAGATTTCCCCTAGAAGTGAGCCAGCATGAGCCAGCAAAGTGTGCCGTTGGTTTCTTGCACCTTAGGGTCCCGATCGTTCCTTCAGGAGACCCGAGAATTCAACTTGGCACTCCCGGCCCGTCACCTTTGTCTTCAGCTTACAACGAGTCAAGGGGGAGAGCGTACAGCGTAGAGGGCTGACCCCCTGAATAGAACGCAAGCATCAACCACGAGCCACAGCACAACCTGCTGGTTTCCTGGGTACCAAAACCTGGGTCAACGATGCACAGGACTTGCTGGGAGGCTGGGTCGGATTCTGAAGTGTGAGGTGATCGTTAGGTGCTATAGTTATGCGAGGATAATATGGAGGTTCTTCTTGGCTTACCTCAAGGGGTGCGTTTTTGGGGTGAAAGGTTTGGTCGGCCCTCTGACTGTCTAACTTCCAATCAACCGGGTGTCGAGCACTGCCAGTCGGCGAAAATCCACGGTTTCTGACCCGGGGTGAAGCCTCACATATTTTTGTGTGTTACCATGGTAACACTGGTTTCCCTTCTTGGTGGGGACTATCATCCACCCCAGAAAGCGAATTTAGAGAACCACTACAAGGGTTCCTAAGGAACCATGACTCTCACCCACTTACTATTCATGAGCCTTGGCAAAACTCCTTCTGGGGGTTATCGTCGATTGTCGCAGACCCCTTCAGGTTGGGCGACATCGTTTTCACGGAGCGCGGAACCGTGGATCAGTTTGTCACCCGACGCACGGCAGAAAGCTCGCCGGTGATCACGAGATTCGTCACTGGCCGAACGTATAGTTGAGGCACATTTTTTCAGGACTCCAGGGGAACGTAGCTATTCTTAAAAATTGGATTATACCGGAGTTGGAACGGCCAACCAAGCCTCTGCATCCTTAGAGCTGTCTGGGGTCTCGCTTGCGATCGATCTAAGGACTGGAAGGGATGAAGGACCTCAGGGTGCGGTCGATGGGCGCTTTCCTGCGACTTGAGCAGCCATGGCAAGAGGGTGAATTCCACCCTTTTGCGACCTGGAATTCCGGCGGTCATCACCCTCCCCCAAATCCTATATATTTTTAGGGGGCTGAAGGCACCTTTTAAGAAAGCGGGCCTAATTAAAGGCCCTACTTGACATCCGATTTGGAATTGAAGCCTCCCATGGGCATTGCTTTTTGCAAATGCCGCATCGATGTTCGGGGAGGCTACCCAACCCATGACAAAACAACTGGCTGTGCCATGCAACCCTGCAGGATGTACTGTCCTGGTGCAGGCACCCAACAGAACATCTTTTCTTGGGTGTGACCTGGGTTGCCTCACAATCTGCAGGATGCCTCTCCGGCTGACGTGGGCAAGTTGTATGAGTTTGACTTTAACAAGATGAAGCAGCACGACTGCGCCTTGGCCAGAAAATCATCGCACTAGAGAAGCAGCTTTAGACTGGTTCACTTTCGGGCACAATGGCGCAAATTTGAGGGTTCTTATAATTTTCTTATTGGGTCTCGGTTTGGGCCCAAGTAATTGTCTGGTATTTTTAAGCTCTTGGGGTAAGACAAGCCTTTTTGTGTAAGCGATCGGCACGTGGTGATGGGTCAACATTAGTCCATTGGGAAGATAAACCGCGCCTTGGCGTCAACCTGATAGATTCTGTGCTTTCATGCTGCCAGAGCATTTGTAGATCCTAGTGGCATGTGGCAGGCTTGTTGCCTTCCGTGTCGGTGCCTCATGAAAGAAACACATATCGCCATGGCCAAGCAAGCACGCAAGCAAGCAAATGTGCAATGAATTAACCCGGCGGCCACAGCACTACGACTGAGGCATCGATGGCTGAGCTTAGGACGGGAACGCGCAAGGCTAGGGCCTTTGGACTGCGAACTGCAATGATACAACCCAGCCATGGACTCAGCAATTCACTTTCGCAACGGGCAGTCCTTTCGTCAAAGCTGTTTGTTTCCTCGCCGGACAGGGTTGCTATTGCAAACTATCGGCTTTGCACGGGCCCGGACATAGTGCGCCCTCGGCCCGGCTTGGGCTCTTCCGAGTCACATCTTTTGGATGAGGGCCGGCGCCTAGGCGACGGCAGTGCGGCACGCTTGGATCGCGCTTGGATCTTGTGAATCTATGGGACGGGGTGCAGTCATGATTCTACCCGAAGGTGCCAAAGCTTTGCACCTTCAGGAGATACCAAACAAAGCTTTGTCCGGCCAAAACTGGTAGTTTATGGGTATTTCGGCCACACTGCCACGCTATGGCCTGCACAATTGGTGCAGGTGCGTTTCAACGTTGCGCCGAAATTTCGGATCGAGGCGACAGTCGCCGCGATTGAGTCTGCCTGAGCACATGCCCCGCCCCCGGCCATGCTGCCTCGCTGCACCGGCACTTGCAGGGTTTTCTCGTGACGCAATTGTTGAGGGCTGTCCTTTCCTGCGTAGCTGGCTTAACGCAGAAAAAGAAGTATTTACTGGGCCGGTAGCGCGAGCAAGTAGAATCCAACAAGGGATGCTTCAAGGACAAGTACTGCGAACTGGGCTGTTGTCAAGAGTCAAGTTACATCTCGGTGAGTGCTCTGTTTGTTTTGTTTTTGACAAAAGTCACTGGCCCCCGCCAGAACTTAGACCCTTTGCCTCCTACGAACACGTACATCATCATGGCGCGGGCGTCCTCCACGCGTGAGGATGATCCCAGCAAGCGAGTACACAGTGGGATCCAACAAGCGCCCACAGAGTACAACCGCGGGTGTGTGCCATTAGGGCATTTCGTGTCTGCACGGGGCTCTTGAGGCATGTGCCAAGGGACAGGGTTTTCAAGACGAGTCAAGACCGACGTGCCGTACAACCAAAAAATGTGGGAAGCGCGAATGGCGCCAAAGATGGCCGGCCAAGCACGCAAAGAATTTGCAGTTGTTTGGTCTCCTCTCTTCACTCAGCAAAACGGGCCAGGCTTGTGTCTCTTGGGGGGGTCATGGGGCAGCTATTGCTATTTGTGTTTCCGAGCTTTTGAGGACCTCATTTCAAATTTCTGGCCCCATGCTTCCTGGCTGCAATCCATGATAGTCTGCAGATGCCAGTCACCACGTTAATTCAGGTCAGCTTCCTTCAGGATCCCACGACAATCGACACATGTCATGATGCAATTTGCGATTCATATTTGTGAACTGTGCAGAGTTATCCCTGATGTATGCGCATGGCCTAGCGCAAAGGCTTGTTCCTAAAGGCTCCAGTTTCCTTGTCCACGCCACGGCCTGCCGCCATTTTTGAAGGGTACTCGGCACGCGCGCAAGTGCCAGGATTTGACAAAGCCAACGCTCAATCAGCTCCGCCACCAAGGAGAATGCACAACATCCGCGTGTTGTGCACACACATTTGCTCATGTTGCTGAATAGGCTGCGGCCAGCGCCAAGACCCCAAGGGCTCACAGCCGCAGAAGACACGCTCGCAGCAAATCGCAGATCTCGCCTCTGACTCGCTGCCATGCCAGGGAGGTTGGCTAGGTGCGAGGCTTTGCGCAGTGCAAATGCATCCATGAGGTGCTGGTTTAGATTGGTTTGTGAGGCAACCCCCTCCAAGGAATTGAGCCGATCCGTACTTGCATGTTGAACAAATGCTGTGTTTGCTTCCCTGGGGTGAAGCGAGCTCACCCATACATGTGAGGTTGGTTTGAAAAGTTTATCTCACCAATATGTGTCAGTTTGCGCAGGGTTTGCAAGCTCCTTCCCGACCAAGTATTGTACGCCAGTGCGAAAATGAACAGCTTTGGTTGGCGAATGGATTTCAAGACCTACCTTCCTTTCCGCTAATATGGAACTTGACTGGAGATTTGTGGAGGAACATGTTGGTTTTGAATGGGCCTGTTGGTTTCATCAATGTCGTTAGTTAGTGGTTCTTCAGCACTTGTGCTCATGCTCAAATTGTCACATGGGTCCCCGCAAGTGTTGGAAAGCCTCCAGCAGTGAGCAGCTCAGATGGGGACTGCAGAATTTCAAGCGCAGAAAGTCATTGACTTGAATGCCAATGAGGTAGACCAATCGGGAGGAGGATCTTATTTTGGCAGATGTTGGCAGGGCAGCACGGATATTTGCGCGTGTCCACTTCCGACGAAGCCATAGGTAACTAGTCAAAAGGATCCAAGTAGATTCGCCACTCGAGGAAAACGGGGAAGTATGATCCTTCTCGTTAGATCCTCGTTAGAATTGGACGTTGGCAAACTTTTCGACCAATGAAGCGGACGAGGCCGTGGGAAGTTCCCGGAAAAAAAACAACACACACACAACACACACACACACATTACCAGCTTCCATTTGAGGGAGTAGTAGGTCCTCCAGATTTTCCGAAGTGGATATTCTGCGTTATGTTGGTGGCTTCACCAGAAACCTAGCGGGAAACCGCTCGTTTCGCAGTTCTCCTAGTTGACGCAGCCAGGTGCACACTTTTGTTGCTTGCGGCGCAGGCCAGATTTAAGTGCTGAGCTTCGTGGGAAGTTTCCGACGAGATTCCCTCATTGGGAGAAGTTCTAGTTTTGGATTCAGGGTCTTGGGCCATCCCTGAAAAGTGGAAGATGTTCCGCTGGTCCGGTTGCCCGACCAAGCCAGCAGAAAGGGGGAGGCCAATTCGAGCAAAAAGGGGGGCATCTCTGAATTCTATTTTGATTCTATGGATGTGTTCATTGCAAGTTCCAATTGCTCTCAACCTTTCCGAGTCTGGAAGAACATACGGCCCTTTTAAGGAGCAAATGTGAGGACAAGGGCTTACATGTCAGTCAGCCCCAATCCGCCTCTTAAGGATAGAACAGAGGCCGGCACAAGAGGCATCAACAGGCAAGATCAAACTCGAGCAACGTAGCCACTTCAGTGACCATACGGACCATCCGTTCACGGATTACAGCCTTGCTCGCGCAGGTTGACCCTGTTCCCTTGCCCAAAGCCCGCTTCGATAAGTAGGGATAAGGGGCAAAAATTGCTGTTCTAACAAACCTCCCTGTAGCAGAACAATGGGGGGGGTCACTTGTTGTTTGGGGGTTTGGGGGGGGGGGGCCTGAACTGTCTGAACAAAAAGTGAAGGGGGGGGTTCGATCAACAAGGGGCAAGGGGAACAAGCGGGGAGGGGGGGGGGGGGGGTTGAGGGACTTGTCGTTCGAGGAACAACAAGCAACAAGTGGGGAAGTGGGGGAAAACTTGTTGTCAGACCATAATCTTGACCAAGCAGAGCCAACAGGGGATGTGTTTGGATGGTATGTCCAGACCACCCATTTGGCACCCATGTAACCCCAGGCATCGTCTGCCGGGCGGAAACATTGGATGTTTTGAGGTTGGGAGTCTCACGGGAGTCTCACGCATCATCAGGGGAAGCGACAACCTTTATGCAGTTTGGCTGAACCTTTATCCTGCATCCTTGTAACCCATTTGGGAAATGTGTCCTGTTGCTCACTACTCAACAATGTTTGCTTGCTGCACAGGGCGCAAGAGCCACCAAGGGAATGGCACTGCCCCCAGAACTCATAGGCTTTGCACAGGATCGCACGGGATGACTGAGCAAGGGCAACATTCATTTCAGGGAAATGAGGCCGGAGATGCCGGCGAACTCCCGAACTCCTCCCAATGGTTTCGGCTTCCGTTCCACTGGGCAACCATTTGTTTGCTTTTCCAATGACTTGTATGAAGCCCGTTTTTTTTGGTTGATTGCGCACCATTGGAAGTGCAGAGCCTTGGAAAATCGCACAGCTGTAATTATGCACAGCATGCCGACCACTCGAGACAAACAAGCAAGGCTGTTCACAAAGCCTAGCTATGCTGAAAACGACCTAGGCTGTAGCCTTGGGCTCGGCTGCAAAAAGAGCCGATGAACCTTTTCAGCTGGTAGCTTTGTAACCCCTGTTTCTCTTGCGCATGGCGCTTCGCCTGAGACTGAACAATTATATTTGTGCCTCCTGGAGGGGTCCCCCACTTAGCGTATTGGAAGCCGAAAATCCATGAGCGCATCCACCAAGTAACATGTGGAAGACGGGGTCTTGGTTTGAAGAAAGAAGGGGATCTACTGCCTGGGGTTCCATCCCCAATTGCTTTCCAAGGCCGTAGGGCTTGAAGTAGATCCATAGGGAGGCCTGCCAGTCGGATCTGAGATGCGCCCATTTTCACGCAGGCGCACCTTGCCCTGTGCCAAGAGGATCGGCAAGGTCTGAACCTCAGAGCATACGTCTGCTCAAGCTCCAGAGTCTTTCAAGGGATTTCCTCCAGGTTGGATGAGAGTTGTAATAGCTGCGGATCCAGTTTTTGGCTCCTTTGCCTTACCCCGTAAATCCATGCTGTTGAATTTGTTAGGGAACCCTGCGAAGACTACTTTAACATTGGTCCGAGCAACATGTGGCGGTTTTCCGGGACATCCGGACGGGATCCGGACGGGTTGGAAGGGGCAGTGGTTGCAAGAGGTGCTCAGCTGCTCAGACCTCCCGCAGCCTGTAGCAAATGGCACCAAACATTCTTTCCTCAGGGTCATCATACTCTCCCATTTGAGAACCCTATCGAAGCTTCTGAGAACCTTTCCAGGGAGAGGTATTGTTTCGCCACGCGAGATGCACACAATGAACAGCGATTCCTGCTGGATGGGCACTGGGGAAAATAGTATTCCACAATGCCTCCATCAGGGCGCTATCAATGCCCTGCATTTCCCCGATTTTAACAATTCGCGGAGGACTTACCTAGCCATACAATGTCCGTTGCTGCCCGGAAAATTTACCCTTCAATATTTCCCTTGCTGAGTAGGGCTTTTGCCAAGCCTTTTGGTGCATCCACTTGCGCAAGGACATGACCCGCATCCAGTTCAGGACCTGCGGCGTGCGACATCGATTGAGCTGCGTGTGCGAAGCTTACCTCCAATCAGTTTCCGGACTGCTTTCTTGTC